TATATAGCTACATAATTTTTTTTTTGCATAGCTACATAAAAAACATTTTTGGCATAAATTACAACATGTATTAATAAAAAATATCAAGATTTAAAAATAAACAATAAAAAGAAAAAACAACAACAAACAAACATAAAAAAGTTATTAAACTTAAGTTTAATATAACTTTTTTGCTACTTTTCAATAGTCTTATGTATAGACATAAACAAGAACAGAATACACAAAAATTATGCATAAAACAGTTATTATTACAAGTATAATTATAATAGAAATATAAATATAATTTGGATAATAACAACTTAAAATTCTACACTGATTTGTTATGTGTGAATAAAAAGAAAAATTAAGGTAAATATACCTTTCATATTATATTTCATAATATTATTATAATGTTGAATAAATCTCCTTTTCTCAAAAATCTGGGAGATCTACCCAGTGAATACAGCTTTGCTTCAGTACCTGAAGAAATAGGAGCAGCCTCTGACTGAGTTGTGGTTAAAGTGCTCGGCCGTCTTCTCACTGCCGTAGTCCTCTCCTGGGTCGGCCCAGATCAAATCACACATAGGCCCAAATGCCGGGGGCTCCTTAAACCGGTCTAACTGCAAAATACAGCGTACAGACAAAGAAAGAGGCATGAACACATCTTGTTTTATAATTAAAAAAACTGTAAGGAAAGGACAGGACATAAACAGATGCTTACTTTCCTAATGTCATCTAAGCAGTTGATTTCTGGTGAGAGGCCACCGTGTACACAGAGGAACTGCTGGTTTAGAAGAGCTGCAAGAGGCAAGCAGTCGAAGGCCTCCATACATGCGTCATAAACCCTCTCTGAATACTTTATTTTACCTGAGAAGAAACAAAGACAGACAAGCACGACTATATTAGAGTTCAGAGCACTGAAGTCAAGAAAACCCCAGACAGACTAATTTCTCCTTCCCTCAGCCTATCACTAAAGATCAGATATGGTTCATTGAGCTGTACTGTTGCATTTATTTCATGAAATAAATAATAACAATAATTAATATATTTCATGAAATAATAAAAGCAATCAAGAACTCAAACCTTTCAACAACAAACTACAAAGTCATTTACATGGCAGTATATCACTCATTCAGTAACATTTTTTTATCAAAGGCTGACCTTGGCATTTGAATAAATAATTGATTAAAGAAATACAGGTCGAGATCATAGGCTATTTATGATAGGTGGGACATCGCATATCTCCACCACTTATTGCCACTTATTTTGTCCCAACCACTTTATGACATAACTTATAATAACGATAAGGATGTGTCTAAATACATCTAATTAAAAGTGTGAATATTTGAATTGAATGTTCAGTTCACTGGTTTTTGATTCAGTTCAAAAGCACAACGATTCAATTTGATTTCCATATGCAATCCAATTTGAAACAAATGTATTTAAAAAAAGTATATTATGCTAACAAAGGCTATTTATTTAAATATATAGTAAAAATATAGTAAAACATTAATTAAATATATATATATATA